CTCATTCAAATATCCATTTAAAGTATGCTCCAGTCATACAATATTTTTTTTTAATTTGGTCCATACAAATAATTTTCTGCACTTGCATTGGTTAAAAATATATGAATAATACTATGTTATATTCAAATGCCAACGAAGCACAACCTGCAGTGAGTGACATTTCTTTTTTTCTTTTTTTTATAACAAGAAACAAATAAAAATTGTCAAATATTAAATAAAAATTTTAATCTGAATAAATTAAAACATCAAATTTAATTTGATGTTTCACAATGAGATGAAATTTTACAATTATTTTTTTTAAACACATATTGCTTACAGAAATCGATACACGTGTTAAATTGTAATTATTTTGTGCAATAGTAGATATCAATAAATCTAAATTATTTTACTTACCTAATTTTCAAATTTTGGTTAGGCTCCTTTTTCTATCTTAGCTTAGCACATTTCTGAAAACTTATTTAAAGAATACTTATTTGAATTTCCATAATTATAGCCTAAAACTTTGTCTTCCTTCATAGACATAGGCTTCTTTTATATGAATACAACTATAGATCATCTATTTTACTTAAAATTTACAACAGTAAGAACATTGCATTAAAATACATTTCTTCAACTTGTTATCAATATCATATAAAACTATTTTAAAAGCATCATAAATTTCTCTAATGCATACAAATATACTCAATTTCTAGTTTGTTATATAATTTACTTATTTTTCGTCTTATTGATGCTAATTTAAACATGCAGATAAATTATACATAGGCGAAATAAATTTCAACTTGATTATTATTCTTTCAGTAAAATATGTAATAAATTTTAAATTGTTACTTGAATAAAAATTAAAAAAATTTACATGACTTCCAGATTTACCAACAACATACAGATATAAGAGCGAAACAATAAGCTCTTAAACTTAAAACAACGACAAATAAATTGTACAGCTTTATTCCATATAATCTTTCCAAAAAGCTGTCTAAATTTGTATAAAAATGATCTGATTATTCCAAATCAAAATTTTCTAAAATCAAGTTATTAGATCCAGTCAAATGTAGTTATCATGAATTTGGTGTCAAGCAATGGCACTATAAAAATATAATATACGAGCTATTTTCACTAAAAATACAAATGTGATGTTATGAGTAATATTTCATTATTTGCACACAAGACCAGCGTTAGTACTTTTATGCTGCCAGTACAGTCAAAGCTGTGGAGTTGATAATTAAAATGTTCGAATCCGAAATTCAAAGATTTATATTCAATTAAACTTTTCACCAAATCGTAGGAAACTATTAAACCATTTGGGCTTAGAGTCTATTAATGCCAAAAATATTACAATGATTTAAAAAGTACCTTCATAGAATAAATAGATATTTGCATTTGTTATCTGACACTTAATCTTATAAAAGATACTGTGTGAGGACTTGATATCTTGATATAAATATTTACTACATTACAAATAAAACCTCGCAGACAAAGCTTAGACATCAGGCAAACTTACGGCAAACGATGTATCTTCATTTTTATTTGATTGAAATAGAAATGTTGACTAAGTAATTCTTTTTTAAACTTCGTAGAACTTTTTATTTACAGTACTATAAATCTTGATTTTTTTTTCCATCTTAATAATCAGCTCAACCTTCACTTTTAAAATGTTAGGGAAAGTATATAAAAGCCTGCGCAAATAAACCTTGTTACAGTGATGATCATAAAATCTAATATAAACCTTGAGAAGTTGAATTTATCTTTGATTTGAGAATACTCTCTACTCTTGATTTGCGAATGATGATCCATCCTCGATTTCAAAAAGTTTTTTTAGTATTGATTTGTAATACTAGATTAAATCTCAATATAAAAGGTTATTTATGCAAGTATAATGCAAACCTCTTAACGCGTTAACTAGTATAATTAAATTTAACTTTATTTAAAGTTTGCATGATTTATTGACTAATCATTTATAAACCTTACTGGACTTAGTGATCATGGTTGTTGCTGACAAACCTGACTACGTGATCTGAAAATTATCTTGCTAGTTTAAATAAATGCTAAAAATGATTTTTCAATTTAAAAGTAGAAATTGTCCGTTAAAAAAGTTCACCAGGCAAAAGTAAGTTTAATGAAAAATGTTTCCTTCTTTAAAAAAAATATATATATGAATAAATAAAATAAAGGTAGCAAATATTTTTTATTGCTACAATTTTCAGAAACAAGATAGTACTGCATTAACATTTTGAATATTAATATTTGGCTCTGTAACTCAAAGATACAATGCTTTTTTAAAGCTAAAGTGGTAGTTAACAAAATCAAATATCCACTTGGTATAAAGAAATGTGTACTTTTTTCGTGTTTTATACGGACCAGTTTTTTTATCTGGACATTAAAAAGCTAAAATTATTACTATACAAATGTTAATTCAAATTTATATACATATATTTCTTATGTACGATTACAATTGAATTTACCTAATTTAAAATTAGATGTTACATTATAACAAGACTAATTTTGTGATAAGTTAATTTTTAATCAATTAATTTAACAAAAAATTTTTTAATAAATTCAATTAAATAAATTTTTAAGTTATAATTAAAGTAATTATCGTGATATTCATTTAAGTATTATTTTTTCAGTTTAAATAAATTTTTCTAAGTAATTTAAAAAATTTTCTTATAAAATTCTAATTCCCCTAAATTTTCTTTTAAAATTCTGAATAATTCTCAAGTTTTTCTAGAAAAAAAATTGACAATGATTTTAAATTTTTACAATGAAAAGAATTCAAAAACAATTTTAATTTTTCTCTAAAAAGAAATTCCAACTACTTTTATGATTTTCAACTTTTTCAAAAAAGATTTAAAAAAATCTAAAAAATTTTAAATATTTTCTAAAATATATATTAAATAAATATATATCTTTAAATATTTTATCAAATCAAACACTTTTTTTTGTTTCATTTAAACTGAAGGACCTAATTTATAGTCAAACAAACTCTAAGTGGAACTAATTTTTCAAACTACAACTCCTGAAAAATCATCAACTCCACAGCCCTGATTACGGCTAGAACATGCCTATTATAGCCTTTGAAAAATGTGTGAATTAGATATATATTTTACGTTCTCTATTCAAACAACTATAGATCATATCCTAAGAATGCGATTATTTTTCTGGACATTGAGAACAATAAATAAAACTTTTCACACAAAACCCTTACATTCGGACACTATGATACTATATACATAAATTTAAAGTCAACATATCACTTGTATATTACACAAATATTGTGATTTTTTTTTATTAATATTTAAAGACTTTTTACAGAAATTAGCGCAGAAAAATTATACCATTACTAGAAGACTTCGTTGTCATTCATTGCAGCATAAAATATGCATAGCATTGTTTTCAATATTATAAATACTTGATACAAAAAAAATTCAAACTGTCTTATTATTTTAAATTAATTTTTATTTTTGAATGCATACTTTGATAATTTTAATCAAATTACGCATTTTTATAATTAAAAAAATTACCAAAAATAATTGAAAAAATTTAATGTAATTTTATTCTTCACCCTTTATTAAAAAGCACGATATTCAATGCTCTTTGCGTTGAAAACTCGCAGTCCAGAATGGAAAGGAAAGGAAAGAAGTCCGCAAGGAAAAAATAAAAACCTGTAACTGAAAGGAAAACATTTGAAAATTTTAATGTGTTCTTAAGTAATAAAAAAACAATAGTTAAAGTTTTGTATTGAATTTCAAAATAAAATTTTAAATTTAATTTGTAATTACTGAAAGCAGTTCTGGTAGTTCATTAAGAAAATTACCACCAGTTATTAAGAAAAATTTTATCTGCAAGGTGTACGAAGAAAAGTTCAGAAAGTTAATTTAATAAAAATATGTTGCACTTTTTAAGCAAACTTTTTCAGCCAAAATGTAACTTTATGCACGAGTGATTTTTAATTTATAAAGACAAGGTAATATCTGGAGTAATTCAAATCCTAAAATAAATACTAGAAGCAAAAATGACAAGAACAAATCACAATATACATATTATATGAATGTATATAATAGTTTCATAAATTAATTTGAATAAAATAGTCGCATTTGTTCTATAATTCCTTCAATTGAATTTATTTCAAAGAATTAGTTTTTAAACATATCGCTAAATTTTAAAATGTTTCTTTTCACCTGAAATCCAAGCAAAAAAATCGTCACCATAAGGAAAATTAAGATATTTTATTAAAAAGACAAGCAGAATGCCCCCCCCCCTAACATTTGAGGTTTCTACGAAATATTTTTCCAGTGGCAATGAAAAAAAAGCAGAAATTAAAAAAGAAAAATACAAATTTTGTTAGAATACAAGATATGAACATATATCATTCACAGGGTTATTTGTAGCCTCGAAAAGTGAGATAATTTTGTATATTTGTAGCTCGTTTTACAACTGCAACAATTCTTTTTCAGCATTCTAATTCATACCTCACACTTTTAATTAGTCTTAGTAGCCAAGGTTCTTCATTTCTCCAGAGAACAAGATAGATATAAATTGATTAAAGCAAAAAAATAACGTGAATAAATCACAAATAAGAGCACATAAAAGGACATACTATAGTTTCAGTTCTGTAAACAAGAACCTTTTTCAGTGTCTAAACACCAAACGATCATCACTGAGAAGGTTCTAGGTTATGGTACTGAAACTATAGCATGTCAATTTACGTACTTTCATTTGGGCTATATTCACATTACTTTTTAATTTAGTCGTCTATTTAGCACTAAGTATACCTTATCCTTTCTTAAATAGATATGAAATTTTTAGTGCCAATTTTTTCCCTTTTTCAGGAAGCAAAAAGCCTTGCAATTTAAATATCTATCATTTAGATATCTATTTAAGTTATTCACAAGTAATGGTTCTTTGAATACTAATAGATTAAATACTACCTTCAATGCCAGTAGGAAAAATATTTTCTGAAAATTCCACTGCATTTGGAGAGTGCAAATAGAGTGTTAGATAACTTTTTTTTTTTGGCCAATTTTTTTAATCTAAACTTCGATGCTCAGATAAACTTTTCTTGCAATATTACAATAATAAAGAAGTATTTTAAGGACTAATTGTGAAAAAAGCTATAATTTTAAAAGCAAACTAAATGAGAAAAATGTTATCAAGCTTCTGAGTAAGTGCAATGAATAATACCACATTTTACCTACCACTCCAAATATAAAAAATAAAAAAAATTTATTAAAAAGAATTTCAAAACCAAATTGTGCGCTTCTTTTTTTAAAGTATATGATAGTCACGATTAAATTATGCCACTTTATGCTTCGCAATATCTTTAATTTTTATATTATCACTTTACATTTTTTTTTCAAGCATGATTTCTAAATTTCGCCAACGAAAAACTTGAGATATTACCTTGTCAGATAAAAAATCACTTCACTTTTTCCAATACATTTAGTTAAACATTTTCGAATCTACTTTAATTTTTATACGCTAATTTTAGAAGCAGTGTTATGCTGCTGGCTGTTGCTATTGTTATTAGTCGTATTTGTATTATTTTGGTTGTTTTCTGCATTCCTTTGACTCGTTTTCTTACTTTTCATTCTCCTATTTTGAAACCAGATTTTGACTTGACGTTCAGTAAGATTCAAGTTCCTCGCTAATTCCCACCTTTTTTGCTTTGAAACATAAGCATTAAAGAGGAACTCTTTCTCTAACTCTAAAGTCTGAAACTTGGAATATGGTTTACGTTTTTTACGCACTGTTACAGTTCCTGTCCATTCCAAAGGATTTGTTGTGGTCATCGGATCCCCTCCTAAAAAGGAATGATAAACAAATAAGAATATGAATTTGAAATGACAATTCAGAAATTAATCTTTAAATAATTCTCATGTATTAAAATGATAGTCATATTTTATAGTAACCCATTGATATATAAACGCAAAAAAATTCCTAAATTCTAATGAATAAATAAATTTTAAAATATTCAGGCCTACCAACTACTACGTTTTTCGCAAAATATTTTATAAACTGGTAGACATCTAATTACCGAAGCTTTCAGAAATTTCTTTAATTTTGCCAGCATTTTTAAAAGCTTCAACATATGAACTTTTAAATCATTTGCATGCAGTGGTGTGGAAAAAAATAATACAGTAAGACACAGACTTAGCTACCACTAGAATAAATTTAACAAAAAATGTAAAAAGTTGGCAGCTCTGAATATTTATTATATCTATATTTCAAATAAAAGTTCAGTTTCTTAATAAAGTTTTAAAAAACTAAAGAAAAAGTCTTTTTGGCAGATTTTTTCAAACAGATTTGAGGTCAAACACTACACTGTAAAAACAATGGTGTGTTATCTCTCTCAATTTTGATGCTAAGTAACCCAAAATATTGTTTGAAAGAACACTTTATTTTAAGTTACACCAAATCGAGAGTAAATGTATGCGTAAAAGGATGAAATTAAGTCTTAATACCATTAATGTTAGATGTTTACAACAAGATCACGCGCATTCACACCATTCACAAATTATTTTTGCTTCCAAACACGCTAAGTTTGGCGTACTTTAAATATCGGCAGTCGATATATAATCGAATATGGAATAGCGCTTGTTGTTGTCTTGCTACTGCTACACATCTACGGGAATAAACGCTTCCCGTTACACGATGTATGTTTTCAGTTGTGTAAGAAGGATAACTATATTATAACTTTTAAATAACTGAAAATTGCGTTAAATAGTTTTATAATATTCCATTTCCAACCACTTCTGCTTTGTTAAGCTTAATTCCCCTTAATATTCTCTCTGTGTTACGCATATGATTGATTTACAAACTAATTATAGTTTATGAATCAGAGTAGGTGCGTTTCCTAAACTTACTGTTCTTACGTTAAATTGTATATAAACAATAAATTTACTGAGACTGACATGAATAACGTATCTTTTTATAAGTGATAGGGAAAACCAAAAAGATGACCCCGACTTTACAGCAAAAGAGCTTCCTTCGGGAACTATCTTTGGTTCTTTTGTACAGCATAAAACCAACAACTAAAAGTTATCTACGTCGTTTCACTACACAACTTTGGTATAAAGTCATCATTTTTGTTGTTGAGATACACTTTTACAGTGTTCTATTTATAAACTTAGATTTCCTTAACTTACATAGGATTAAATTACGACTTAACTTATTAGTGACAAAAAATTTATATTAAAGCATTAACATTTAGAGGTTAGATTTTTGAACCAATACATTTTGTTTGAAAAACAACATGATCATAAATGCATTAAATTATCTGTCTTATGATTGGTGCCACTTTTTGAAGCATTTTAGAACCCATGAGAACTCTATTAAACTGTTCTTAGACTGTTTTTCTCTTTTGTCATATGAAGTAACGTAACAGTTATTCATAGTTTTGTCCATTTCGAGTAAGCGTCTTCAATGCTGATATGAAAAACTCATTCTTAGACTGTTTTTCAAAGTCTCTTTTATCATATGAAGTAACGTAACAGTTATTCATAACTGCTGGGCTAAGTTTTGTCCATTTCGAGTAAGCATCTTCAATGCTGATATGAAAAACTCAATATGAATAAAAACCATTTTTTAAAATAAAATTAGTTTGCGAATTAGTTAGTGTTCTTTTTTAATATTTTAAAAGTTACTGCGTTGCAGACCTGCCAACATCTCCATCTTTCAGCCTGAGCTTCAAGTATTTAAACTGGTAGATAAATATATAGTATATATTGTAGTAAAATTAAAGTAACTTTGACCACCACGACATTTAAATAATTCATAGATATACACTGCAGAGAATGTTCTTGTATCTGAACATCACAGCTACCACACAGACTGCTACCTTAAAGTTCTACCACAAATTTAAACGAAACATGATTGATGGCTCAAATTTCAAGACAAGACTACATTGTATCTGAACACCAAAAACGGTGCATCTACTTTACACCAAAGTGGTTCCTCTACACAAAAACCCAATGATAGTTTCTGGCCCAAATGTTTCTTTACACTGCTTGGGGTTAAATAGCCTCCATTAACCCCCATGTACGTTATTTAGAAACACTAATACTTATAATTGCTGTAAGATAAAAACTCATAAGAATCAGTGAAGTTATATTTAAAAGACAATATAAAGTAAGAATCCACACAGTAATTTAGGTTGAATACACATACTAATTCTCATAATAAATTATTGAATAATGAATTATGTTCATGAGCTCTGTTACAGTGTTGATCCATTTGCCCGGGTTGCTCACCACACTAGTCTTAATCATACTACATATTCCTTGAGGATGACCCCTTGGGGTGTGAAATTTTTGATTTTCGCTCTATATTTTATAAAGTGGCAGACAATTAACAACTAAAGATATCAGATTTTTTATTATTTCACCAACATTTTAAAAGCATTTTCATTCAAAGTAACATTTTTTTAGGCAACAACAAAAAATGAAGAAAAGAAAATTGTAGAATATATCATGCTATTTATTTATTTGTTTGGAATTTATTTATTTGAGAAAGAAAGAAAGAAATCTCCTCTTGACTACTAGGAATTATCAACATTTATAACACATACTTTCCTCATATGAAGCACCAATAAAACACACTTTGGCAACGACTAACTTATATTTTCGTGTTTTTTCTCTTCATGAAACGCAAATGCGGGTAAGTTCCATCGTAAACTCTCCACGAAGACTAATTTGACCCAATACTTGGTCTAGGAGTTCCTTTGTCATCTGGGTTAGGTTCAAAATTACAAAGCTATGGTAAAATTACAAAGTATAGATAATCATAAATTCAGAATTTGTTCGACTGTTATACATAAAAAATTTTTACCTGTTATATATAAAAAAAATTTAAAAAAATTCAGGGTCCCTAAATTAAATAGAAAGAGTTAAGATTATATATTTACGTTATCTTCATATTTTTCAACTTTTAAAGTGCTTAGTAAAAAATCAAGTACGTTAAGAGATAAAAGCCATCGCAATTTAAGTGGTTTATATTATTGATAAAATTAAATGAGGAAATTATAAATTTTTGCTATATGGAATAAAGCTTCCACAACTTGAAATTAATAAAAAAGAGAGGCATATTCTATTTTTAAATGGCTCTTGAAAACCATATAATTTTAGTCTAAACCATATCCTAAAAATTCACTTCTACCGATTTAATACCAGCACAGATTCTTTCTGGACAGTCAATACTTTTTAGTAATTACAATACTATGCTATTTTATTGCTTCTAAATTTTAGGGGAAGAAAAGAGAAGAAGTTCTAACTTATTATGAGCTAAATTCAATATCCAAATTCCATAGAATAGAGTAAGGACTCGTGTCCCACATTCTTTAAAAAGTATTTTATTTAATAATCGTCGTTGAACAGCCAACCTAATTTTGGGTTTACGACTACTAATGTTCAACTTCGTAGCCTTGTAATTTTAAACCGAATCCAGAAGACAAGTTAACTCAGGGATTGAGTATTGGGAGAAATTTTGTCTTCGTGGATTGCTTCTTGATGGAGCTAACCCGCATTTGCGTATCATGGAGAGGAAGACCACGCAAGGGGACTCTAACCCATGATCCGTCTACCACTGAGGATATTTCACGTCAGCACTGTGGTCGGTACAAGCCGGATACGGAATTCGTACCGACTGGGATTCGAACCCGCCTCTTTGGAAGGCAAATGCTCTACCCCTTGAGCCATCGCGGCTCAATAAATTTGATTTGAAGTTATTTTACCCATCATTGTAAATAAATAATAAAAACTTTTATTCAAAACTCCACTTAATGGAAACGCGCATTCACTGGAGAGCCCTATAAAGAGTTTGCAAAATTAACAAAATTTTGCAATTAAGCAGTTAGCAATGTTGCAAGTTATGTTTTACCATTTTCAGAAAACGAAATAGTTGGCATTTCTGCGTTATTTCTAACCTTTAAAACATAAGCAATAAAAACAAGATTTTACATTATTTTCTTGAAATATTGATTAAATTTAAAGTATACTTTATGTATGATCAAATTTCTGAAAAATTTTAATAAATTGCTGGGGAAATAAATCGCAAAACTTGTGGATAATTACGTTCACTCTTATAAAGTGTCACCACGAAATTATTGCAATAAAGGTGGACTTCATATGATGCTTGAAATTTTTCATATATAAAGGGGGGGAAATTACTTAATATGAAGAATACTAAACTAAAATTAACTTAGAATTTGTTTTTGTTTTTTACATAGCGCAGCAAGTTGGTCTCGTTTTCAAAGGCTTAACCCTTGTACTCAGAATTTTTATGAAGCATATTTACAGTCTTCTCCAATAATTCTGTATTAATTTATGTCTAAATAAGGGGAAAATATAATATTTAGCATTTTAATCATTTATGGTTACGAAATTCAGCAAGAAACACCGGTGTCTCCGTTAAAGGTAAAATCTTCAAACGTGACAAATAATAATTTTTCAAATTTGCACTTCTTCTGCAAAGAAACAGTTATTCGTTATTGAATTTTCTTAAATTTACAAAATCAATTATTGATTAATTTTTGAATATAAATGAAGAAATACTTTTTTTTTATTTCATAATGTAGTACAAATGTAGTTCCGATATTTTGAAATATTTTTGAGCAACTATTAGGTTATTTTTTCAAATTAAAAAATGCCAACATATATTTTTGATTTCAATTAGACTTTCAGAAAAAAAAAATCTCTAAAACGGCGGCCATCCCATTTGCACCTAAGGGTTAACGAAATACGATTTGCCACATTCTTCTTCTTTTTCTTTACTCAACTTCTTCATAACTTTGCAACAATTTAATTT